CTTTGAGCTGTGGTGTTGGAGAAGAGTATTGAATGTACCATGGACTGCCAAGAAAACAAACAGATTCATCCTAGAGAGGGTTAAACCAGGCTACTCCTTGGAGGCAAGGATTCTGGGACTTCGTCTGACATACTTTGGACATGTTGTAAAGAGAGACAGGTCTTTAGAGAGGGACATCATGCTGGGTAGAGTAGAGGGACAGTGCAGGAGGGAAGGACCCTCTATGAGGTGGATTGATTCAGTGACTGGGGTAATCGGGATGGGTGTGTCAGAGGCAATGAGATTGGCACAGGATAGAGCAGGATTTAGGGCTGTTGTACATAGGGTCGCTATGAGTCGCAAACGACTCAACGGCACATAATAACAACCTCACCTTATTACAAAGAGTTTAAGGCAACTTACAACTCTCAGAAAATGAATGTTATATAGTTCTTTAGTTGTTTCCTTTCTGTGTAAGGGACTGAAAAATGGGGAAGAAGTCTTTTCACTTAAGTTAAAGGAGAAATATGGGGGAATAAATAAGATTAAAGGAAATTTTGTTGGCTCAACACTTAAGGCTCATGTGTTAAAATCTTTAGGAAATCCTGGCTCCAGAGGCCTCAGGAGTGGTATATATCTGCTTGATGACTTGCTTCAGACAAGGCCCCAAACTGATATTCCTGTCTCCTAACATATACCAGATTTTGTGTGATTTCTTTAATCAGCACTTCCTCCTGCCTGCCAGCTACTTATATTTTTTTTATATTTGTAGTCTTTTCCCTTCAGCATGTTCATTGTCTGCATGCTAACATCTATTCAACACATGTTGTTGTTATGTGCCATCGAGTTGTTTGTGACTCATAGCGACCCTATGTACAAGAACCCTAAACGCCATTCTAACCTGTGCCAACCTTGCTGTCCCAAACACATTCATTCCCACCACTCCACTCACTGAATCGATCCATCTCATCAAGGGTCTTTCTCTCCTGCGCCGTCCCTCCACTCTCCCAAACATGATGTCCCTCTCCAAGGACCAGTCCCTCCTTGCAACATGCCCAAAGTATGTCAGACGAAGCTTCAGAATCCTTGACTCCAGGGAACATTCTGGCTTCACCCTCTCCAGGACAAACCTGTTTGTTCTAGCAGTCCATGGTATATTCAACACTTTTCTCCAGCACCACAACTCAAAGGCATCAATTCTCTTTCTATCATCCCTATTCACTGTCCAGCTCTCCGATGCATAGCACGTAATTGGAAAGACTATAGCCTGGATCAAGTGCACCTTACTCTCCAGCCTGACATCCTTGCTCTGCAGTACTCTTGAGAGGTCCCTCACAGATGACTTTCCCAATGCAATTCGTCTCCTGATTTCCTGGGTGCTGTTACCCAGAGTGTTGACTATGGAGCCAAGTAAACTAAAACTGTTAACTATCTCAATCTCTTCACCATCCATACTGATGCTACTAATTGGCCCAGTGGTGAGAATCTTTGTTTTCTTGATATTGAGCTTCAATCCATATTGAAGACTGCAGTCCTTGACCTTCTGCAGCAAGCGCTTCAGGTCCTCCTCAGTTTCAGCGAGCAGGGTTATGTCATCTGCATAATGCAGATACTGATGGAATATATAGAGTGCTCACAAAGAATGGAAGTTACTGTAGCTAAGAGCATGGACTCAGGCTAGAGCTACCTGAGATAAATTGCTTAAGTTCAAAGCCCTGCCCTGCCACTTGCTATCTCTGTAACGTTGAAGAAGGTCCTCAGTTGTCTGTACTTCTATTTACTTTTTTGTAAATAAGAAGTCATATTTTACCTTCAGTCATTGCGATGGTTAAAGGGGAGAACAAGTGCACAATAAGTGATCATAGGTAGCACAAGATGTTAGTTGATATTACAGTTATCATAATTTCTTTTTAAAAGACCTATCCATCTAATAATCTAAAAAAGAAAAACAACACCACAAACCCACCCCAGGGTAAGAGAAGGCATAGCTCCCCCAAAACTCACTGTTGGATTGGAGTGAATTTTTACATCTCAAGAAGCCAACTTCAAATACTTGATGTTACTGCTCTGAAACTTGTTGAAAGAATTTTGCAAGTGGGTTCAAGTTCAAACAGAAAAGAATGCCTGATTGCTAAGGCATATTTGTCATGGCTAATATTGCCACTATTGTTGTTATTGTTGTTCTCTTTGCTAAAATTTACTTATTTTACTTGCTAATGTTTGTCTTAAATTCAACTTTTTAAAAAAACAGTATGAAGATGAATATGTCTTAGAATTAATAATTTATAGAATAATTTTAGTATTATAAATTTGCTAGAGATGCATTATTATTCCTAAAGTGTTTTCTAGCCAGGACAGTAGGAGGGGATCTCTTAAAGCTGTTCTTCCTAACTTCACATTTCCTGGGCTTCCTTGGATACATATTGGCATACAGACTAATAAGTGTGATGGTCACAATTTGTTTCTAATTTGGGAATTTGCTACTGTTGTTGTTACCTGCAGTCAAGTCAAGTACTACTCATAGCAACCCTATAAACAAAAGATCTGAATCCTGTTCTGTCCTGTGCCATCCTCACACTTCCTGACACATAAGAGCCCATTGTGGCAGTCACTGTCAGTCCACCTGGTTGAGGGTCTTCATCTCCTTCGCCAAACCTCCACCCTTCCCAGCATCATGTCCCTGTCCAAGGAATAGCCCCCCTCCTAGCAACTTGCCCAAAGTATGTGGGGTGAAGCCTCATCATTGTACTTGCCTCCAAAGAGGACTCTGGTTGCACTCTCTCCACGACGTATCTGTTGGTTCTTTTGGCCATCCATGGGATGTTCAGTGCTCTTCTCCAACTGACAGCTCAAAGGCATCAATTCTTCTTCTGTTATCCTTATTCATTGTCCAGTTCTCAGATACATAGCAAGTGATTGGAAAGACTATGGCCTGTATCAGATGCACCGTAGTCCTCAAACTGACATCATTATTCCTCAGTAATTTGGAGAGGTCCCTAACTATAGATTTTCCGGACTGCTCGTATCAAGGGTATTAATTGTGGATGCAATCAAGATGAAGCTGTTGGCAGTTTCAATCTCCTCTCCATCCATCATGATGTGGCCTCTCAGTCCATTGGTTAAGAATCTTTTTTTTTCTTGACATTGAGATGCAATCCATACCGAAGGCTGCATTCCTTAATCTTCTGCAACAAATGCTTCAGCTCCTCCTCACTTTCAGCAAGCAAGATTATATCATCTGCATAATGCAGGTTATTGATGAGTCTCCCTCCAATCCTGATGCCACAGTCCTCTTCATAGAGTCCAGCTTCTTGGATGATGTGCTCAACATACAGATTGAACAAGTATGGAGACAGAATACAACGTTGACACACTCCATTCTTAATTTTAAAACATGTAGTGTTCCCTTGCTCTGTTTGCACAACAGCCTCCTGATCTAGGTATAGGTTTTGCATGAGCACAATTAAATGCCCAGTAATTCCCATCCTCCCATATGTTACTAATAATTTGTTATGATCCACACAATCGTATGCCTTTGCATAGTCAATAAAGCACAAATAGATGTTCTTCTGGTATTCTTTACTTTCAACCAGGAGCCAGCTGACATCAGCATTGATATCCTTGGTGCCATGGACTTTTCTAAATCCTACTTGAACTTCTAGTAGTTCACTATGTATGTGCTGTTCTAGCTGGGGTTTGTTTGGTTTTGTGTTTTTTTTTTAACATCAAGCAGTATTTTGCTTGCATGTGGTATTAATGGTACTGTTCAATATTTTCCACATTCTGTACAATCAGCTTTCTTGGGAATGGCAACAGATAATGTCCCTCTTCCAGTCTGTTAACCAGACAGCTGTCCTCCAAATTTCCTAGTATAGACTGATGAGCTCAACCAGGGCTGCATCTGTTCCTTGAACAAGTCAATTGGTGTCCATTCCTGGGGCCTTATTTTCTGCCAATGCCTTCAGTACAGCTTCCACTTCCTCTTGCATTACCATTGGCCCCTGCTCATATGGTACTTCCTGAAATTTTTCGGTGTCAATTAGTTCTTTCTGGTACAGTGATTCTGTGTATTCTCTTCATCTTTTGATGCTTTCTGGGTCATTCAAAATATTCACCATAGCATCTTCAGTATTAAAACTCAAGGCTTAAATCTGTTATTCAGTTCTCTCAGCTCGAGAAATGCAAAGCGAGTGCTTCCCTTTTTATTCTCCAATTCCAGCTCTCTGCACATCCGTGATAATACTTTGCCTTGTCTTCTTGAGCTGCTGTTTGAAATCTTCTGTTCACCTCTTTTACTTCTGCATATTTTCCCTTTATTTTGGCTTCTCGATGCTCCAATGCAATTTTTAGAGTCTCTTCTGACATCAGTTTTGGTTTTTTTATATAAAAATCTAATGTTTTCCTTCCATTTTTATGTGTTATAATCCAAACATTTAATGTTATTATATGCCGTTCAATTCCAACCCATAGTTATTGTCACAGCTCTCAGCACCTCTCCACAGTCCCCCTTCCCTAAGTGAAAGAATTCATTGATTTCTTTCTTGGGTAGAATTTTAGTTGTTTTTGCCAGTGTGAGGAAGAAGTTATTATTGATTCAGGCTTTTAGACTTATTTTACTGATACATATGATTTTTTTAAAAAAAGAAATTTTTTTCTCCCTTTTTTGTTGTTGTGTACCATCTAACTGGATCCAACTGGCACACGAGGAGATTGCCCCTCCTTTTCAAGCAAAGCATGTGGTGGATTTGAACCATGCACTTTCAGGATTGTAGTGTGGCTTCTTGCCACACTAGGCCACCAGAGTTCCCTCTATGTTTTCCTTGAAATTTCTCTTCTTTGTTAGGTCTTCTTTCTCTGGGAATTTTGTTAACTCAAAGATGTTGTGATTCTTAAAAAGGTTACCACCTGGCAAACTGGACATAGCATTCATTCTTTTAGCCTTCCCATTGCATTCATTCTTTTAGCCTTCCCATTGCATTTTTCTATTTCATTTCATTTTTTTGTTGTTGTTGTTGTTTCAGACTGGCTCCAATTCTTGGAATTCAGGCGCATTCTCAGGAAAATGTGGTGTTTACACAGTTTATTTCGACCCTGCTTGAAGAGCTACATTTAAAGAATGAAGACCTTGAGAGTTTAACCATAATATTTAAAACCAGCTGCTAATAAGAATGGTGAGTTAAATTAATTATGTTTTACCCTAGTTTGTTTTTTATGTTACCTGTGTAGATTCTTTTTATAGTCAAAATTTTAAAAACTAAAACAAGCCTCAGATAGTCCTCACCTTACTCCAAGAAAAATATACAGTCCCTCAGTTCTCAGCCACTTCAGTCACTTCCTTCCCTTTCTTGTTACTGTCTCATCCTTCTTACTGTTCCTCCTCCTAAAAGCTTCTGCAGTAATTTCTGTTTCTTGCAATCCAGGAAACTCCCTGCTCTCAGCTTCCTATTGAAACCAAAGCCATCCCCGTGTCTCATCTCATCAGTATTCTCCCAGGAAGTTACGGTTTATTTCAACCCAAGGAGTACATGACCCATTGAGAACATATTTATTCTACTGTTCCTTTCAAAGAAGTATCCCCCAACTAATACCTTCATCCCACATGCAAACGAACAGGCAGATTTGTAAGTCTAGCTTTTTTGAATCCTAATCCTTCTTAACCCTCTCCTACTGTCCCAAGTCCTTGCCTGTCTTAGAACTGCCCTTCAGAATATTCTTTCTGCCTTAATCTAAACTCTTCTGAATTTTACCCTCTCTACCCTCAATTCTCACATCACATATTCCCCAGCTATGTAAAGAGGAAGAGAGCAAATTTAATCTTCTGCTTAAAAGTCATCATAACTTACAAATGAGCAAATCTCTAAAGATATGAAAAGAACATTTAAGGGGTTTGTTTTTTTTTAAATGTTACATTGTGATTTGCATGAAAGTTTAAAAAGTAGATTGATTTTTCATTCAACCATTCATACATATTTTGTTTTAGAACATTAATTACAATACCCACAATGCAATCACTATTTTCCTACTTCCTGTCATTCTCATCTCCATTAATCCTTCTCTCCTACCCTTCCTTATCTCCCTGGGATTGATACTTGAGCAAATGCTGCTCTTTTGACCTTAAATGGCTGGTTATTTTATAGGAAGGATATTTGTTAGAGAGAAAGGTATTTTTGGAATTAAGTAGGAATGGCACCACTTTATTGAACCTCCTGTAAAGTAAAATAAAGTATGTGTTGTCCAACTTCCATTCAGACATTGTCCAACCACATATAAGGTTTTGCCCCTACCCCCACCCTCAAGAAGAAACAGTTCTACTTTTATTATTTCCCTGTAATGATTGTAACACCACCAAATCTAGATTCTTGCAGCTCTGGAGTATGAGGTAGCATACAAAAAGGTGAGGCAGAGGACATTTTCCTTTACATAGGATCTTGGGTTTTGCTCTCTGATGCATAGCATGCAATTACAAAGACTATTTACAAATAGTAAATTTGCAATTACAAAGGCCCAGATCAGGCACACCTTAGTCTCCAGCCTGACGCTGTTGCTCTTCAGTACTCTGGAGAGGACCCTGACAACTGACTTTCCCAATGCAATTCATCTTTTGATTTCCTGGCTGCTGGTACCAAGAGTGTAGACTGTGGAGTCAAGCAAACTGAAACTATTAACTATCTCAATCTCTTCACCATCCATACTGATGTTGCCAGTTGGTCCAGTGGTGAGAATCTTTGTCTTCTTGATACTGAGCTTCAATCCATATTGAAGGCTGCAGTCCTTGACCTTCTGCAGCAAGCGCTTCAGGTCCTCCTCAGTTTCAGCAAACAAGGTTGTGACCTCTGCATAATGCAGGTTACTGCAGGTACAGAGGACCAATTGGAGGCCTCCACAGGTGGGGCTTCCCAGTTAAAATAGTTTTGGGACTGGGACAGAAGATGGATTCTGAACCTGGCTGACTGACTTTCTGGCTTTAGTGCACGTACAGAGGAAATATTTAGTAATCTTTTAAAAACTACAGTATTAGCTAGTCCTGGCAGCTCAATGGCACATAGCAATAACAATAGATATAATACACTTTCCATTTCAAATAATAAAAAAATCCAACTGGTTTTTTGTCATGTTCTGTTTTCATAGTGTTTATTATTTGAGGCTGAAGAAGTTACTCCAAAACTTGGTGGCTTAAAGCAAAATATATTTATTAGCTTTGCAGGGTCTGTGAATTAGGATTCTAGGTATAGTTTAACTGGAGCTTCTAACCCAGGATCTTTCATTAGGCTCTAGTTTTTTCCACTAAGGCTACAAGCTTATCTGAAGGGAGAACCACTTCAATCTCATGTGTTGACAGGATTGAGTCTTCACTGAGTTGTTCTGAGACCTTCCCCCAGGTTGTCTGCCCATGTGGGCTTCTCCCTAGTGCACTTTACAATACTGCAAGTGGCTTCCCTCAGAGCAAGCAGTAGAGTTCCCAAAATGGAAGCCACAATCTTTTTGTAACCTGATTAAAAACAAAAAATACTGGTTTATTTACAAAGTTCATATACATTGTTTTCACACCAGATCTTTCCCCTTTCCTTAATCCACCCCGCCCTCCACCCCATCAAATTGTGCAACCCTATGATTAACCAGCCCATCTTCACCCCCTGCTCCCTGCCCCCCAAGATTCTCACTTTCTACAATAATGGTCTTATACAGTATTTGTCTTTAGGGAACTGCGTTAGTTTACTTAGCATAATGCTCTCCAGTCCCTCCCGTTAGGTGATGATTTACATAGTCATTGCTCCTGCATGCTGCATAGTATTCCATTGTGTGAATGCACCATATTTTCTCAATCTATATGATCATGGTTGGATATATGGGCTGTTTCCATGTTCTTGTGATGGTGGAAAACGCTGCTCTGAACATTGGTGTACAAGTCTCTGTGTAACTTGATTTTGTAAGTGATAGCCCATCTTTTTTTAAGGGGAAAAATATATATTAAAAATATATATAGATATAGTTTGAATGGAAGTTTACAAAGAAATTGACTTTTCATTCACTAATTTATACAGATTGAACCCCCTTCATTCCTAATCTATATATCCTCTACCAGCTTGTTAGTTGCAGTAATCATACTTACATCTTATCACCCATTCTTTTATTACCTCCCTTGACCTATTCCAATACTGTGCTCCTTATCTGTCCATTCTCTTCCTGTTATCTCTGCATTCCTGTTCCACAGCCTCCCCTTAATCCTCTATATTGCGCTGTCTACACTTATATACATCATTTTTGCTGTATTATTTTCATTAGAAGGTAGCTAGCTACTAGGTGCAGCCTACACTCAAGTAAATTTACCTAAGGCTGTGAATAACAAGAAGCAAGAATCATTAGAGACCAGCTTATACAAGGGTTGTATACCTGTGACAAAAATTGCTACAGCCTTATATATAGCAGGCCACACTCTCCTGGGAAGAATCTTGAACTTCATACTGGTTAGGGGCACCCTAAAACCTGTCCATATAGTCACGGGACTGGTGTGTCCTAACCTTGCAAATTTTGGCAAAGATGAGGTAAAAAAAATGGAATTTTTCTATGACCTATACCACTCAAGGCCCAGGTCTCCCGCTGGATTTGAGTCCAGGTCATTTCTACTTAAACTGTTGTTACAACAGTGGGGGATAAATGATATGGATGTTAGGAGGATGAGCCCAGTTTCCACTTGTTGAAGTGCCATCAAATCATAGACGACTCATAAAGACCCTATGAACTAAAGACCTGAACACCTATATAACTTCCATCATTTCTCCATGTTCATAGAGTTTCCAGAGGCAAGCTACTTCAGAAGTGGATGCCACTCCTGCTTCCCAGCTTTTTTTAATCAGGAAACTCCAGCAAACACTGTCCACTATGGGTAACCATTATCACATTTGACACATCAGTGTCACAGTGTTTAGCATCACAGCAACCACAAGTTACCTCTGTACAGCAATGCCCAGACCAGTGCTATACCACCTAAAAGAATGTTTGACAAAAAAGCAATTTGACACAGGCCTGAGGGCCACAGATGAAAATCACCCACCTTGGGCTTGGTAGCATAACTTTTTGTCTGCTAGGCCAACAGAGCTCTCACTATGTTGTCATTGTTATTGTTGTTAAGTGCCATCGTCGAGTCGTAGATGACACATAACAACCCTATGAATGAAAGACCTGAACATTTGTGAAACTTTGGTCGTTTCTCCATGTTCATAGAGTTTCCAGAATTAGCTGGTAAAATATTTTAGATGGTTTTTATTTAAAGTATCCTTTCTTACTTTACAGACAGAATCATGAAGACAGAATAAAGAATGAACTGCTGTTACCTCCCGTTTCTGGAATTGTGGCTGTAATGATGGTGGTGACTGACAGCTAGCTTTGTTCCAAGGAAAAATTGTGCCTCCTGCTGTCTCCCGGTTCCTAACTTCAGAGATGGATTTTCAGAGAGAAGAAAATTATTATTCCAACAAAGATAATCATGGCTTTGCATCCCTAGCTATAAAAAAGATAGTGTTTTTATTTGATAATGAAAGGTGAGATTTAGATGAATATTCAATAATAACCCCTTTTTTTCTGAGTAATTCCTACCATTATGTCAGTTGATTTTTTTAAAAAAAAAGATCCTGTTTTGACCTTAAGTTGACACTAGGTTCTCAAAGAATGATAAACAACTGTTGTTATGTGCCTTTGAGCATTGAGTGAGAACTGACCCATAGCTGACCCTCTAGCAGATTTTCAGAGGAATGACTTCACATGACAGAACTGTGCCTATCCTTCTCCTGCAGAGCAGCTGTGGATTTGAACTACGTACCTTTGGGATTGCAGTGCAGCTTTTACTGTTGTTGTTGTGTGCTGTTGAGTTGCTTGCAACTCCCAGCGACCCTATGTACAATAGCTCTGAACCCTGCTCTCTGACACGCCTACCCTCATTATCCATGTTATTGTGTCAATCCATCCCATCAAGGTCTTCTTCTGAGCTGTTCCTCAACCCTTTCAAGTATAATATCCTCCAAAGACTGACCCCGCCTGGCTACATCTCTGACTATGAGACATAGTCTCAAAATCCTTGCCTCCAAAGAGCAGCATAGTTTCATCTCTCCAGGACAGACTTGTTAGCTCTCTTGGCAGTCCATGTTATGTTCAAAACTCTTCACCAG